GCCCACTGTCTGGAGGGTGGACGTGCTTGAAGCACTGATTTGGGTGGGGCAAAGGCAATATATGTAACCTAAACATTTGTACTCCTGTAATATGCTGACCCATGATATGCTGAAATAAAAAAAAAATGAGCATTGGTTTCAACTTCAAGCCACCAGTTGCATTAGTCCCTAGACAGAGTCAGCCTGTCCTTTGAAGCTTTGAAACCAGGTATTGACTTCTCTCTAGCTATGAAAGTTCTTGACGGCCTCTTCTTCCAATAGAAGATTGTTTCATCTGCATCAAAAATATGTTGGTCAGTGTAGCCACCTTGATCAGTGTTCCCAGTTAGATCTTACGGATAACTTGCTGTTGCTTCTACATCAACATTTGCCTCTTCACTTTGCCCTTTTATGTTATGGAGATGGCTTCTTTCATTAAACCTCATAAACCAACATCTGCTAAGTGCGAACTTTTCTTCTGCAGCTTCCTTACCTCTCCTAGCCTTCATAACATTGAACACAGGGCCTTTCTATGTATTAGACTTGACTTAAGGAATGTTATGGCTGGTTTAATCTTTTATCCAGACCACTAAAACTTTCTCTGTATCAACAATAAGGCTGATTTGCTTTTTATTCATTCATACGTTCACTGGAGTACCATATTTAATGTCCTTCAATAACTTTTTCTTTGCATTCACAACTTAGCTAATTGTTTAGTGCAAGAAGCCTATCTTGGCTTTCAATATGCCTACCTCACTAAGCTTAACCATTTTTTAATTGAATGTGAGAGAGGCACAACTCTTCCTTTCATTTGAACACACAGAGGCCACTGGAGAATTATTAATTTGCCTAATTTCAGTATCATTGTGTCTCAGAGAATAGGAATAGTGAGGCCTGGGGAGAAGGAGGGGAAATGGCCAGTCAGTGAAGCAGTCAGAACACAAACTACATTCATTGATTAAGTTCACTGTTTTATAAGGGTGTAGTTTGTGGTGCCCCAAAACAATTAAAATAGTAACACCGAAAATGACTGCTCACAGATCAACCTATTAATGGTAATGAAAACTTTTGACGTACTGCAAGAATTACTGAAATAAGATACAGAAACACAAAGTAAGCACATACTGTTGGAAAAATGGCTCCTATATAGAGTTGCTCAACACTGGGTTGACACCAATATTCAGTTTGTAAAAAATGCAATATCTGTGAAGTTCAGTAAGAGGAAGCACGATAAAATAATGCATACTTGTACTAACAAATACTGACAAGTTAAGAATCCTACATCTCATTCTTGAAGGCAAACTAACCTAGTTTTGACCTAGTACTGAAATGACATGCAAACATTTAGTTTCAAATAACCAGCATGTAAAATAATAACTTGCTATTATTACCTTACTTTTTATGATGAGCAAGATGACTTTCTTTGGCTTGGGGATTTCAATGGGCTAATAATGATGCCATCTGCTTTCAGCCAATATTTGAAATGACCTCTCTTTGATTCCCAGGCCAGAATAATGTTAAGAACTATATTATGCATTGTGCCTTATGATTAGCAAAGCCCTTTCCCATAAAATGTTCTATTTAAAATTGGTAAGACTATATAATGATAATTATGTGGAAAACATTAATGATCTGGTTCAAATATCATCCTAAAACTTTCTAGCTATGTGAACCTGGACAAATTCCTTCATTTTTCTATGCTTTCAGTTTCCTCATACGTAAAATGGAGAGATTAATAATACTAATTTTTAGAGATTTTATGGGGATTTAATAAATTAATATGTGTAACAATTGAGACTGTCTATAATATGGTCACATTTAAAAATGTTAACTATTGTTATTATTAATTAAATATGTTTGAAAAACAAATCCACATAATATCCTTTCATCTGTTTACTATTACTTAAAGAGGTGATTTCTATTTTGTTATTCATTTTCTTGGATTTTTTTAGT